CCGCCGAGGACTTTTCTCCCGGTGGCTGGCTCGGCTCCCCCCCTCCTGTGCGCCTCCGGTCCTCCGCGCCGCTGCAAAGCGAAGGAGCCCGGGAGAAGCGGCTGGATCCGGCCGGCTCGGACCGACCGAGCCCGCTTGCTGCCGGCGCCGTGCGTGGCGCCAAGGCGGAGAAGGGGTTAATCCGGCAGGCCCGGGTTGAGCGGGGGGCGGGGGGCGATTTGAAAATCGCTTCCCGCACTTAGGACCGCGCTTTCCAAGGCTGCCCCGTCGCGAATGACTCCGGGCCGCTTCTCAAATCCGAAGCGACCTGGAAAAGGCCTTCGGGTCCGACTCCTGCGCGGGGCAGCGATCCGAATTCAAGCACTCCTGTCGAATGGCCGCTCCCGGTGGCTCCTCTTTGGAGAACTGGCGCCGTTGTCCAACGGAAGGTTGCGGTAAAGTTCAGCTGGACTTTGCCTTCCTGTCCGTGAAATCCGGAGTAAATCCGTCCTTTAAGCCTTCCCCTGCATTCCGGAGCATGGGAAAAGAGACCTTGATCTTTCTTCTGTTATGACCGCCTTTCAGTTATTTGATGAATGGCTCATCTCCCACACCGTTTTCTCAAGGCCAAACATTCTTCAGCTCCTTCAACCTCTCTTCATAGGACCTAAGTAGAAGTGAATCACACTTCTGTTGATGCGGTTTAAAATGACATTTTGCAAATAGCTTCTCAGGTTTATCTAGGTCAGGGGTTCCCACCCTGGGGTGCCCGCACCCCCAGGGGGTGCGAGATGGAATTTCAGGGGGTGTGACAATTTTATGCACTGAGTTAAAAGCTGCTTTTTTAAAGTTCAATTTATTCACCCACATTAGGAATGAGACGTCTTCGTCTTCAAATGCGATATTACTTTTGTAGGGGGTGCGAACATTCATCAAGCATTTCCTAGGGGTGTGGGGCATAGAAGAGGTTGGGAACCGCTGATCTAGGTGAATGTAGTTTCAATTTAGCCCTTTCCCGAGGCTTTCAGCTGTATTTTTGCCAGAACTGTCTTTATCTGACTGAATGTATTTCATGAAACTAGGGATAAAGAGTCCTTGTGATTGAAATGTGTCTTGCAAAAGTATCGCAATGTGTCTTCCAGGAATGGGGCTTTTTGCAAAGGAAGGTGTCGCCCCAATGAGAGTTGAAAGTGTTATAGATTAAAAATAATTTTAAAATCCAAGTGGTTTTAAGAGGCTTCCCAAAAAAGCCTGCTTCGTTGTGCTCAGCAGCTTTTGCAAACTTTCTAAGATCCATTCTCAAAGTTGTACTTTTCCCCAGACCTCCTCTACCATTACTTAGTGCAGAGTTTGTCAACCTTGGCAACTTGAAGATGCGCGGACTTCAA